TATATATATACCACATATGCAGAATGTAACACTACTATAGCACACAACAACAGCTATTTAAATTCATCTTCTTCCATTTAAACTTCAAACGTGGGTTCAAGTCTTATGTTTTAAAAATAACTGCAGGCTGCTGATGTCTTTAATACCTTGGACAAATGAAACCATTATTTGATAGCTATTCATTTTTAAATTCAATGATTTCAGGGAATAATTTCCCCAAATGGGTAGTAGTTAAGACTTATAGACAGATCTGGCCAAAATATATAACAAAACAAACTTGAAAAATGGATCTGGCCACTGTCAATAGAAAGAAAACTTTACATAATCATCATATTGTCATTGTTAAAATTCATCCATTTCATTGATATACTTTTACACTTGGTTTTGGCAGATTTTTTATTTTCATATATGTGAAATAATACATTGAGGGAATCTTTTTATAATGATAGATTGCAGTTCAGGTTTACCTATGCCTAATCAAATTGCATGTTTTTATAAATCCGTACTCTATATGACTGAAACTGAGGTTTTCAATGGATTTTGGGTAAATCAGTAAAATAAATAGTCAATGAAAATTATTGGTAGACTTCATCCAATTTCAAAAATATCATAGAATAACAAGACTTCGTATTACACTAAATATGTGCATTTCAATCGAGGCTAAAAAGATCTAAACCAACAAACCCATCAAACGAACACAGAACCAATTGAATGAACGGTGCCTTGCAGATTGCAAGTGGCCGTCCTCTGTTGGGTCTGACGGTTGTTAACTATGGCCTTTTAACAGATGTAATCCTCTTCCCTTAACTGTCCAGATCTGAAAGCACACATATAACAAAGCATGAATCAGGTTGATCTTAACTATACACAAATATTACCAGGGCATAAGAAGAAAAATACTCATCTTTTTTTTAAAGACACTTGAGAGGCTGAGCATGTTTATAGCTTAATTATGCACAGGGGCGTTCGAAGATTGAGGTTCACTTCAGAATTCAGAATACAAACGAATCAATAAGTAGCATAGATAATGTTTAAGAGAACGTCGTATTTGGGCAAAACGCATCGGTACTTACCCATGAAATATTGAAGGATCTGTTGTTCGTGGAGATCGGTCGTCGGTGCGAAGGACCTGTTCTGAGTGGAGATCGGTCGTCGGTGCGAAGGACCTGTTCTTCATGGAGATCGGCCGTCGGTGCTTCAGTGATGCGAGATGGAGAAGCTATAGACGAGAGATGTTGGAGGCGGCGTAAAGTAGAAAGCCAAACCCTACGGCGTAGGAGTATATACGGGCGACCAAATGTCGGACCCGGTTATGTTTGTGTGATGGGCTAATTTTGAATGGGTTAGAAATATTTGTGTTGGACTCTGTAATAAATTAGGAGCCCGTTTGGTAGTACGAAAATCGGCTGATTTATTAATTCTGCTAAAATTTATGAAGTTGTGGCTGAATTGGCTGCATTGGCTAATTTTGATGATTTAACGAAAACAAATTGAAATGTAAGATATCAATAAAATTTAGAAAAATATATGAAAAAATAGCTAAAATAATCATCTACGGTAACTTCATGCAATACAGTCAGAAAAGTACCTTCAACCTTATGTTTACTGTTTATTACACAGTTCAGCACGTGAAAGCACAAGTTACATGTTTGGTAAAAATTTTGGTTGATAAACCTGATAAGCCGACAAACAGTGCTAACAAACAGCCTCTAGAATTCAAATGGGCGACAAAATTGGGATTATCCTACCAAAATATTTGGATATTTCCAAATTATTTTTCTAAAGTTGTAAAAAAAATCATTTTTCAACAATGTATTATTTTACCGAATTCATTTTATTAGTTTATATTGAAATTATGGGGATCAAATTTCATTATTGATGTTTTACTCATTATAAATTTTCATTTCAGACATTAGAAGAGTGTGTATCGGCATCATAAGAAAGAGGTGCTTAGAATAATGTAGTTAAAATATGTTATCCACTTTTATTTAAAAAATTAATTGTGGCTCATGAAATTACCCACTCAAATATATACACACATAATGGTGTGGATGTGTGCATTGTGCAGTTTACGTAATATTTTTTGGGAAATGACAAATTTCAAAAATATTATTATATGATTTTTAGTTTTTTATAGTTAAAAATTAATATGTGTTGTTTTCGATAAATACGATAGTGATACATTTCTTACTAACGTGGTCAACCATTCTTTTTTCACGCAGAGGTTAGTGACAATGAGCGTGACGTAAATCGAAGGGTTTTGCAAAACGCTCGATTTCAACAATCTCTTCGGAACAGTACTACAGCATCTATAAAGCCTATAACTTCTGCTACTTTCCCTTTGATGGATGTAACTAATGGTAAATTTATCAAGATGCTTTCGGCTTACTATCTTACACCAATTATTAAACTAATTATACTTTTCAATTATTTTATTAACCAATATTGTGTAACAATAATGTAGTCTTGGTGATGAACGCTCAACCACCAGCGTCAATTGTACTCTCCAAACCAACACCTATTATGAGGCCAAATCTGATTCAAAAGAGATCATGTGATCTACCATCTACGTCGGTTTTATCCAATCACCCAGACAATATATTGCACGACACTAATGTTGCTTCTTGCAGTTATTTCACGCAAGATTTGGATATCGATGATGTGGACGTAGACGATGCATATGTGGATTATGAAGATCTAAAGAGTATTAACGATGAATCGTCTATTGGTTGGTTTTCTATAAAATTTAAATTTTTAATTAAAGTTTTGAAATTATATGTGCTTTTAAAATTTCAGAATTTATTATTTAAATTTATTTATTTCTTTATTCATTATTAATTTATTTATATAACTTAAATTGTGTTGGCATTGGTTATCGTATTTCAGAGTTATGGGATATTGGTGATCCAAATTGCGTCTGCCCATTTTGTGAGGCACTTTTTTGGTACGAAGAGAGGATTGAATCGAGTTCTACAAAAATGAACCCGAAGTATTCTCTGTGTTGCTCACAAAATAAGGTACAACTTCCCGTCAACAAAGAACCACCGTTGTTGCTGCAAAGGTTGATGGATGGAACAGATGCTAGAAGCAAGCACTTTCTAGAAAATATCAGATCTTACAATAGCATGTTTGCATTCACATCTATGGGTGGTCGGATTGAAACGGCGATAAACAAAGGAAGGTCTCCCCCGATTTTTAAACTTCACGGTCAAAATTATCACCTTATTGGAAGTTTAATGCCCACAGTTGGATCGACTCCAAAATTCGCACAGTTGTATATCTACGATACAGAAAATGAGATACAAAATCGGATCAAATCTGTTAGGTAACTTTTGCGCAACAATTTTAATTTCTTATTCTGTTTGGTTTATGAAGATGTCTAAATTTATCATCGAAGATTGATTTGATTTGTTCAGGGGAGCTGCTGATACTGACCAATTACATGTTGAAATTGTTGAGGACTTAAGAAACATGTTGAATGAGCACAATGTTTTGGTCAAATCATTTAGAATGGCTAGGGAAACGATTCATCGAGGTGAGAGTTGTGACGTGAGGCTAAAGTTGATAGGTAAACGAAGCAGCGATGCAAGGACGTATAACCTACCAACTGTATCAGAGGTTGCTGCTTTAGTTGTTGGGGATTTTGATGAGTCTATGGGAGAGAGAGATATTGTGGTGGAGACCCGGAGCGGAAAGCTACAACGCATAAATGAACTTAATCCAGCATATTTTGGCTTGCAGTATCCTTTGTTATTTCCATTTGGTGAGGATGGTTACCGAGAAGATATTGCACTTTCAGGTTCTAAAGTTGTCATTGGCTCGGGAAGACGCAATGTTAGTATAAGAGAGTTTTTGGCTTATCATTTGCAAGAGAGGGAATACAGATATTCCATTACTTTGAAGGCTAGAAGACTTTTCCAACAATTTGTCGTTGATGGCTACACTTTGATAGAGTCTGCAAGATTGAAGTACATTAGAACACATCAAAAGCAACTTCGTTGTGAAATGTACAAGGGCTTGAGTGACGCTGTTTTGCGCGGGGAGAGTGATCCTGCGACTCAAGGAAAACGAATTGTGTTGCCCCCAACCTTCACTGGTGGTGCAAGATACATGATACAAAACTACCAAGATGCAATGGCTATTTGTAGATGGGCGGGGTATCCAGATTTATTCATCACGCTGACATGCAACCCAAAGTGGCCTGAGATTGAACGTTTTTTGCATGGTAGGAATCTTAAGTCTGAAGATCGCCCAGATATCATATGCCGAGTATTTAAGATAAAGTTGGATGGTCTTCTGAAAGACTTGCGACGTAATAGGGTGTTTGGTAGTGTTAAAGCAGGTACATTTCAAACTGAACATACCTCGGTTTTAACCATTATTAAATGTCAGAGTAATTTTTAAAATTACCTTTTGCAGTGGTGTACACTGTGGAATTTCAGAAGCGAGGATTGCCTCATGCACATATACTATTGTGGCTAGCAAGTGAGGATAAATTGCCAACTTCAGCAGACATTGATAAGGTTATCTCAGCTGAAATTCCTGATAAAGACAAGGACCCACGATATTACAATGCAGTTCGTGATTTTATGATGCACGGACCGTGTGGTCCATATGTTAAGTCTGCTCCATGTATGTCTGATGGGAAGTGTACGAAACATTTCCCTAAGAGTTGGTGTAATGTTACGTCTATTGACGGTGATGGATATCCGGTTTATAGACGAAGAGACGATGGTAGGACCATTGAGAAAAATAATATTCCTCTTGACAATAGATTTGTGGTTCCGCACAATCGTTTTTTGTTGATGAAATATGGCGGTCATATCAATGTGGAGTGGTGCAACCAATCCCGGTCCATCAAGTACTTATTTAAGTACATCAATAAAGGACGTGATCGTGTCACTGCAGGTTTTTTTAATAGTGCAGGTGCAGATGAAGGGAGCAAACCTGTGGATGAGATCAAAATGTATTACGACTGTAGGTACATATCTTCGTGTGAGGCTGCATGGCGTATATTGGGATTTGAGATTCAATATAAAAATCCACCAGTTGAACGCCTTAGTTTTCACTTGAAAGGAGAGCAAACTGTGATCTTCTCAGACAATGAGCCTCTTGATTTTGTAGTTGTTGGGAGGAGTGTTAAAGATAGCATGTTTTTGGGGTGGATGGAAGCTAACAAAAAATACGAGATGGCGAGACAAATGACATATGCTGAATTTCCTCAGAAATTTGTATGGAAAAAGGGTACAAGGGAATGGGTTCCAAGAAAGAAAGCATTTTCTATTGGTCGGATATACTATGTTCCACCAGGATGTGGGGAGTCTTATTATATGAGGTGTTTATTGAACCATATTCGGGGAGTGACGTGTCATGAAGATTTGAGGACTATAGGCGGTGTGTTATATAATTCATACCGTGAAACTTGCTATGCTCTGGGGCTTTTGGACGACGATAAAGAATTTGTTGATGGTTTTACTGAGGCAAGTGATTTTGCAACGGCATTTGCACTAAGGATACTTTTCGTCGTATTGTTGTGGTCGGAATCCATGAGTCGACCAGAATTTGTTTGGGAGAAGTGTTGGATATACATGGCAGAAGATATTCAATACAAATTGCGTAAAAAGTATCAACATCCAGGTATATCAAAACAACTATTTTGTTATCAATCATTAACACATTAAACCATTGGTTCGTGCTAATTTGTTCTCTGCATTGATTTGATTAGTGGTTGAAATGACATTCCATCTTTTCATGTCATACAGGGTTTGTAATGGACAATGATCAATTGCAAATGGCGGCATTAACGGAGGTGGAGATGTTATTGCAACGACGAGGAAAGAGTTTACGTGATTTTCCTCCAATGCCATATCCAAAGTCAGACTCAACTTACCTTTCCAATAATAGATTTGTTGAGGAGGAACTCCAATATGATCGGCAAGCGATGCATCAAGAACATAATACCTTGCTTCAAGGTCTAACAGATGAACAACGTGTTGTTTATGAAAAGATCATGCATTCTGTTGAAACGGAATGTGGAGGGATGTATTTTGTTTATGGATATGGTGGAACTGGGAAAACGTTTGTGTGGAGAACTATATCCGCTGCATTGAGGTCCAAAGGGGACATTGTATTAAATGTGGCATCAAGTGGCATTGCTTCTCTACTACTACCCGGAGGGAGAACCGCGCACTCGCGTTTTGCAATTCCGATCAGTTTGAATGAAGATTCAACTTGCAATATAAAGCAGGGTAGTCCTTTAGCAATACTAATCAGTAAGTGTAAATTAATCATTTGGGATGAAGCTCCAATGCTCCACAAATTCTGTTTTGAGGCATTGGATAGAAGCATGCGTGATGTGCTCAGATTCACCAACCCAAATAGCCTAAACTTACCATTTGGTGGTAAGACAATTGTTTTGGGGGGAGACTTTCGACAAGTGCTACCGGTGATCCCACAAGGCAGTAGACAAGACGTTGTTAATGCAACAATTAATTCATCTTATCTATGGGGGGAATGTACAGTTCTTAGATTAACTAAGAACATGAGGCTCCAAAATGTCAGCAGTCCTGCAGAATCCTATGATTTGAAGGCTTTTGCCGATTGGATTGCAAGCATAGGTGATGGATTAGCTGGGGATTTAAACGATGGTTGTGTCTCTATTAAAATACCCGATGACATCCTTATCAAATACACCGGAGATCCAATTGCTAAGATAGTGGAGGTCATTTATCCCGATTATCTGAAATCAAGTACAGATTTGAGTTACTTGAGAGACAGAGCTATTCTTGCTCCAACCCTTGATGTCGTTGATTCTATCAACGACTACATGACAAGTTTGAATTCCAAGGAAGTTGCTAGAACATATCTTAGTTCAGATAGTGTTTGCAAATCTGATTCAACACATGATCTTATAGCAGAGTTGCACACTACAGAATTCTTGAATAGTATTAAACTCTCTGGTGTGCCAAATCATAAGTTAACTTTGAAAGTCGGTACCCCGGTCATGCTTTTGCGTAATATTGATCACTCATTGGGTTTGTGTAATGGAACAAGACTCATCATAACAAAGATGTGTGATCACATCTTAGAGGGAAGGGTCCTCAATGGTATTAGTGCAGGACAAAAAGTCTTAATACCGCGATTATCTTTGACACCGTCAGATGTTAGGCTGCCATTTAGATTTCAAAGGAGGCAATTCCCTATTATGACTGCTTATGCAATGACCATCAACAAAAGTCAAGGCCAGTCACTCACTCACGTCGGTCTCTTACTAAAAAAACCAGTTTTCAGCCATGGTCAATTGTATGTTGCCGTCTCAAGAGTTACCAATCGTGCAGGTCTCAAAATCCTCATCCAAAACGAAGATGATTGTCCAATGAATGAAACCATGAATGTTGTCTATAAAGAAGTGTTCCATAATCTCTAATATTTCATATTGTATTAGAATCACATTACATATTACAATAGATTACATATTACAGTTTCATTTGTTAATCGTCACAATTTAAGATATTTAAATTTATTTCCAATTAGACTTTAAAATCTAACACTAATAATATCCATCCAACAAACTCCTGCACCGTGCATCGCACGGGTGCTGTACTAGTAAAACTTAATAGGAGGTGTAAAAGGAGAAAAATCTGAAATAGTTTACCGATAAAATATTTTACTTTAGTCTAGTTTTTTTTTCTTCTTGAACATCAATAATGTTATTAATTTTTGGCCTTTGACAATTAAATAGTGAAAACTTCATTGGCTTAAGACTTACAATTCTTGTTCTAGAAAAAAAATCCCATTTTTATACTCTCTCCGTTCTTTTTTATTAGTCCTTCTTTCCTTTTTGAAACGTTTTTTTTTATTTGTCCTCCTTTCCCTTTAAGGAAAGTTTTTGAGAAAATACCCTAACTTTTATTACTTTTACCCCACTTACTTTTTACAAACTACTTTCTCTTTCATACTTTACAATCACTTTACTCTTCTTAATACACTCTCTTTCATGCTTTATTATTACTTTACTCTTTTTAATATATCATCTTTCCTACTTTATCATTTACCCTATACACTTTATACTTACCCTACTACTTTATTATTGAAACTCGTGCCAAACCTTAAGGAGGCTAATAAAAAAGAACGGAGGCAGTAATATTTAGTGGAATGGATGCATGAAGAGAGATATTATAAAATAAACATTTCATTTTTTAATTTGTGTATACAATAGTATGCATACACGACACATTAGTCATTAAGTGCATCTGACCCCGGCGACCCCTCAGTCATATACTTCCTCGTCCCGAAAATAAGTTTCTGGGTTAATTTTCACACATTTTTTGGAAATAAATTTACTGAGGGGTAAATTTTACTGTTTTGACACTGTTTTGCGCTGTTTGGCACTGTTTTGCACTGTTTTGATGTAGATAATTTGCCAAATAAGGCAGTGAGAAGTTTATTTTGGGACATCCTAATAAGAAAAGTGGGAATTTGTTTCTGGGATGGAGGGAGTACATTTTAAGTACAAATTTCACTCGAGTCTTGACCCAATCACCTATGTACTATCCTTCATACCATATCATATGATACACACAATCACATATAAGTATAAATTACTCCCTTCGTCCCATTAAATTCTTCCAACATTCCTTTTTGGGTCATCCCAAAAAAATCTTTCAACTTCCACTTTCTGGTTCACATTCATTCACATTTTTCTTACATAACTACAATCATATATTTCCACTTTATTCCCACTTCATTCCCACTTCCTTAATTTGCGAGAAAAGTTTGACTTGGAAGAATTTTTTGGGAGGGAGGTACTATAAATTAAGTCCTTGTCACACCAATAAATAGTTGTCTTACCCAATCACATTTCAAGTCCTTTTCACACCAATAAGGCTGCTTGCAACCCATGGTTGAATAGGCCAAATCCATTCTATTCACCCCAATAAAGCATTGCAAACCATGTATAGTGGGGTGCATGTATTGTGGGGTGCCAAAGTGGGTGCATGGCACCCCTTGGGAGAGATTTCGGTGGGTACATTGAGTCATTGACCCACTATTTCCACTGGCTGCTGGACAACAGAAGAAAGGCAGCAGCTACCAACATGTGGGTCACAGTAGTCAGCTACCAACAGCGGTGCTTTGGACTCGCTGGAGTGCGCATGGGTTACTTTTCTTGAGCTCATTTGTTTGAAATTAAGCTCATTTGTGCTCATATTTTCATACCTGGTGCAATTTATTTGGATTCGCTGGTGCAATTTATTTGAAATTAAGCTCATTTGTGCATATTTCTATACATTCCAAAAAAATATTTTTTTACATAGAAATGTTTTACTTTTAAAATCATAATTATTGGTAAAAAAATTGTTATAAGATTGATGTGTGATAATAAAAGTAAGAATTTATAAATTTATTTTAAAAAAAATTGTGCTGAGTGAATATATTGACAGTGCTGAGTTGCAGAGAAAAACTGATTGACTGAATGAATACGTATAAAAAGTTGGTACATTTGATATATTGACGGAGGCGAGTTGCGGTTAGCCTAAGTATAAATTAAGTATAGTACAAATTAGTACTCCCTCCGTCCCCTTTTAAATGTCCCGTTTTACCATATTGGGATGTCCCTATTTAATTGCCCCATACCTTATTTGGTAAACTATGTGTGCCTCAAAATCATTCTTACTTTATTCTTACTTTATCAATTAATATCAACCACACAAACTCACTTTTCTTAAAACCCGTGCCACCATCTCCCATCCCATTTAAAAGGGGACGGAGGGAGTATAAGTGAAGGAATACGTAGTCAATAATGGGTCATTTGAGTCTTGACCCAATCATCTTGGCGACCCCCCAGTCATATGAATAATACACACATTAGTCAATAGATGAATACTTGAACAGTATAAATTTCAATGTTTTAATGAACAATATAGTACGTAGTATAATTCATCGAAGAAGAAAAGAAGACGTTACATGATTAAAAGCAATGTCCATTTCACCCACATATCGATGCGTTTTGCAACATCGTCAGTCGACTCGACTGCCCGAGCCCACAATTCATGGATCAATATACACACGACAGATAAAACAAGGACGACAATTGCTACCTTGCAAAGCAGCCCAGCCGTATCTCCCTTGTTTCGAATCACCTATTCGATCATAAACGCAAAAAACATACAATGGAGTATGTATAATAATAGAGATATTACTCGAAATAGGACTAAGAATATTTGAAAATTTCAAAATAAGACTGCCATGTTTTTATTTCTAAAATAGGACTAATTACTGTCATGTTTTAGCAGTACCAGACTTCAAACGTGACAGTATTTTCCAAACTTGACAGTAATTACTCCTATTTTGGGAATAAAAAACATGACAGTTCTATTTTGGAATTTTCAAACGGTTTTAGTCCTATTTCGGGAACTTTCCCCTAATAATAATAATAATAATAATAATAAATTAATGTTACACAGTACTAGTACTACGTATTACGGAGTAATTAGTAAAAGCGTTGACGGAAATTGATTAAATAGGAATAGAACATTAGGAAATCACAAAAATAACAATGAGAGAATTCCTTAAATAGGAGTAAAAACGTTTTGAAATTCCAAAATAGGAGTATCATGTTTTTTATTCCCTAAATATGACATTTTTAGGGCATTACAAGGCCTTAAACATGACATTTTTTTCAAACTTGCAGATTACTCCTATTCAGAGAAATAAACATGATACTCCTATTTTGGAATTTCAAAACATTTTTACTCCTATTTTGGGCAATTACTGAATAACAATTTATATTTTATATTCCCTAAATATAGTGTGGACAAAAATACCCCTTGATGTGTACTGTTTAGGATTAGGATTTAAAGTTTATTAGGGTTTAGGAGTTAGTAGGGTTTACCAATTCAACTTAGGTTGCAAAGGCATCAAGGTAGAATTTTGGACTGCACCAGCCGAAGACCGTCGAACCTCCATATTAGCATATTGCATGAACTGCGATGGTCAGCGAGGAGGCGTTCATACTTCAATTTGCTAAGGTTTGGAAGACGATATTTCAAGTTGGGATTTGGCTACCTGTGTTTTGCTTGAATTTTATTCCAAGTTCTATATTTATTTGGTTAGGCAATTTACCTTGTTTTTGGATTTTGTGTGTTTGTGTTAGTCTTGTGATGTCAATTTTTACTACGATTGGAAGTATTGAGGCCGGATTCTAATGTAGTCGATGATTGATTCAAAACTCTCACATATTCAAAGAAAAATTTCGCTCAATTTTGGATAACCTGTTTATGCCTGAATGCATGATCGGGGAGTGAGGGAGTCTTTTGATTATAATGATTCTAATGGAAAAGAAGGATTGAGTTGTGAGTTTGAGTAAGAGCATCTCCGGCGGTTAGCTAAACACATTGTAGCTTTACTTGCCATATGCATCAGTTTTTTCTAGCTAATCCATTTTTCAGCAATGTGGTAGTTCAATGGTTAGCTACAATGCATGCCTCTTGAATAAGACCTACAAATCAATTAAATTCGAAAATAAACATTTTGAATGAATTTTATTGTTAATATAATAAAAATAATATTTATTTTGAAATACATATTATTAAAATTAGTATAAAAATATGTATTTTGTTAAGTAACAAAATAAGGAATAAAAAATTTGCTCAAAAACAATATCAACTTATGATGCACTTGTCAATCTCGAATGCCTGGATCCCTAGGCAAAAACAATTGAAAATCGGGATCATATCCTTGATGAACATCAAAACCATTCTCTATTTATAATAATTAGTGGTAATGAGATTGAAACCACTTTGGAACTTTACCGTTGTTGTTTTAATTAGATTAGTATATTAATTATCAATAAATTAAATATATATATATATGGGAATTACCATTTTATTTCAATTTTCTCTCCTTTTTAGCATGTAACCTGTTTTGGCTAATTTGTTTGCCCAAGCTAGAAGGTAATATGCATTCCAATTATAGGCTAGTAGCTTGAGTATTTTAAAAAATTGCAAGCAAGTCCTTGAAAGAAATCTGGACAACGAATGTTTATATATGTTAAACACTGGCAAAAAACTTCATACTCGTATTAATTTATACTAGTATCGTACCCGTGCGATGCACGGGACAATAATATTTTTGTCATATGATACATTACAATAAATACATATTCAAATATGAGTGTAAGATATATCTATTCTAACAAAATTTTAAACAAATGTTTTGATATACTTGTATATAATAAGATCTTATTATATACAAGTATATCAAAGCATTTATTTGAAATTTTGTTAGATGAGACACTGCATGCATACCTCATATAAGTTAGTTATATG